TCTGCCCCTCCCCTGCCTACTTTCCTCCTCATTCCCTTTAGCCTCCCCCACCCCCTTTGCTCCCTTAGGTCGTCCCCTTCCCTCCTCTCCCCCACCTCCCTTCCCCCTTTCCTCTTTAATTGTTTTCCGTTTCTCCTTCCCCTTCTTTTCCTCTTTCTTTTTTAAGGGCATTTCTTCTCCTCCTTCATTTCCCCTTCAACGCTTACCTTCCTTCTTAACATTTCCCCTTGAATAGACGTATAAATGATAATTATACAACAAATTACTTCATTGTCAGACCCTTGATTAAAAAAAAAACAACAACGATGATACCAACAATAATAATTATGACAATGACAGTAATGGTAATGATAATGATAATAACAACAACAACGATGATAACAGCAATGATAATTATGATAATAACAGTAATGATAATGATAATGACAAAAAATCAATAATATCAACAATAATAATTAAGGTAATGACAGTAACGATAATGACAAAAGCAACAATAATGATAGCAACAAGGATAGATAATGAGGATGAATCGTATTCATGTTAACAAATGTAGAAAAGGAATGAATAGAAATGAGCATCAGATATAATCGAAACTGGTCAGATATATTTCTTGTATTGTGAATATATTCATTATAATTCATACCATTTCTACATATGATAATGAGAGTAATGATAATAATAATGATGATAATGAAAAAAATAATGACAGCAACAGTGATGAATATTATAATGTGAGTAATTATAATAACGATAAAAACAATAACAACTATAGCAACAATAATAATCATGATAATGAGAGGAATGATAATGACAATGGAACAAATAATGACAGCAACAGTGATGATTATGAGAGTAATGATAATGATAAAGATACAAAAGTAACAATTATAGCAACAATAATAGTTATGATAATGAGAGTAATGATGGTAAAAACAATAATGATAACTATGATAATGAAAGTGATGGTAAAAAAATGATAATGATACAATCAACAACAATGATAGCAACAATCACAATCATGATATTGAGAGCAATAATAATGTCAATGATTATGATAAAAAAAATGATAGAAACAATAATAATTATGGTAATGAGAGTAATGGTGATAATGATAATGATAATGATTATAATAATAATAATCATAATGATAACGATAGACAGCTATCAATAAATTCGTTTTACAATGCCTTGTGTGTGTGTGTGCATGTGTATGTGAATGTATGTGTGTATGTGTGTGAATGTGTGTGAATGTGTGTGTGTGTGTGTGTGTGTGTGTGTGTGTGTGTGTGTGTGTGTGTGTATGTGTGTGTGTGTGTGTGTGCTGTCAATCATCCGCCCCCAATTTACATCAAGATAAATCGTAACGTGCAGGTATAACGTACGGTCTTATAGACGAAACACAAACAGAATTTTAATATAGATTACTGGTAATACATGATTATTACAATTATCACTGTTATTAGTAGTACGTGTTGATATTAGTGATTTTAGTGTTACTATCATTCTTGGTATTATTTTCATTATTGATATTGTAATTAGCATTGCTATCTTTATGATTTTTAGTATCATCATCTTTAGTACCAAAATTAATATTACTTTATTACCATCATTCCCATTAGCATTAGCATTATATCATATTGCTATTTTTCTCATTGCTATTGTTGCTATCACGACTAACATTTATATTATGATTTTTGTTATCATCATTATCACTATTATATTTTTCCATTGTAATTATTACCATCAGTCTCATTGTCCTTATTACTTCATTATTATCATTATCATCATTATTGTTATTACCATTATTGTCATTATTTCTATTATTTCCATTATCATTATTATCATCATTATTATCATTATCATTATCATCATCATCATCATCATTGCTATTATAATCTATTATTATTGTCTATATATATATATATATATATATATATATATATATATAATTATATATATATATATATATATATATATATATATATATATATATATATATATATATATATATATATATATATATATATATAATATATATATATATATATATATATATATATATATATATATATATATATATATATATATATATATATATATATATTATATATATATATATATATATATATAATATATATATATATAATATATATATATATATATATATATTATATATTATATATATATATATATATATATATATATATATATATATATATATATATATATATATATATATATATATATATATATATATATATATATATATATATATATACACATATATACATGTATGTCTATTTGTGTGTGTGATTGTATGTACACACATAAGAGCAATCATTGTTTTAGTTATCGAACAGGGAATGTGTTGAAATCATTGTTCAAACCAGGAAATTCCTCATTCTTGTTCTGTGACTAATGGAATAAAATTGTTCTGATACATACAGATGATTATTTGAAATCCATCTTTTAAATATTATAAAGGACAAAAAAAGTAATG